CTCGGCGCCTCGGCGCCTGGTCAGGAAATGTCACGACCCTTACCATAGCCGCCTGCGAGCTTCAGTGTAAATATTGTGTAATCAATTTGTGTGTTGTGATTGGCAGCACTCGGCGCCTGGTCAGGAAATGTCACGACCCTTACCATAGCCGCCTGCGAGCTTCAGTGTAAATATTGCGTCAATATCAAATCAATTTGAGCGTGATTTAAACCAGGATGATTGTAACCACTCTAAGTTCGTCTGCTTTGGGAAAGCTAGCGTGTCTCCGACATAGTGATAACACTCGTTGTCTTCTCTAGTGCAGCTCAACCAGGTCTCGTCCCATTCGTCGATATTTGTGATATCACAAATCCCGGAAAATATGCGTTGTAGTCCAAACGAGTCGTTCGTTGTAGTTTTTGAAAAGTGATTTCTGTTAAATAAAATATCTCCTTTTGAATTTTGAACATTGTAACTTTGCAGGTCTTTTTTATGCTCAAACAGCAACATTACAGACTAACTAAAGTTGAAAAAGCATAATAGGACCCCTTTAAGATCTTCATGTGGTGATGGCAGATATAAATCAACGATTATGTGTGATGGAACTGCCTGAGTCTGCGCCCATCCCACATGTAAGCCGGGAAAATCCATGTGTAGAGGTTTGTGCATCCATGGTCTAAAGGTATTCCACTTTTTTGGGGGGAAACATTAGAACAAAAATCTGTATACTTTAAAACTACGGTCTTTTTTATGTATTTATTTGTATGTCCTTTGATATGGACCTTTGAGTCTGAAATAAAATAATATCTATATATATTCACATATTTTACACAGCTCTACAAAATGATTGATTTTGATTGGTCAGTCACAATATTCCAAGGTCTGTTACAGAGTGCAACAGTGGGTTCTGAAAATAAAAAGTCCATTCATTTTCTACATAGGAAAATTGATTTTTAATGATACCTCATAAACCTTTAAAGAAAGGTCTACTGTGAGCTTAGAGGTTGTTAACTGATGCTGTATGCTTTTGTTGAAGCCATCTGTTCAAATTACACACAGTAATAGAGTCACAGTGCGCAAATTTCAATATTTAATATTCCCATAATTATTTATGTGGTGAAAAGCTGTGTATTAAGCAGTATGAAATTTTTGTCTTGTTCCTCTTGGATCAACGCTGCTTGTTAGGAACTGTTTTAACTAAAGAAAAATTAATTAATACTTTCATTCAGCAAGGCTGCATAATTGATCAAAAGTGACAGTAAAGACTTTCATATAGTCCAAAACATTTCTACTTCAAATAAATGCTGTTCTTTTGAACTTTCTATTCATCAAAGAACAATGAAAAAATGTAACATGGTTTCCACAAAACCATTAAGCAGCACAACGGTTTCAAACTGTTTTCAAAATTGATAATAATTAGAATCGTTCTTGAGCACCAAATCAGCATTTTAGAATGATTTCTGAAGGATTGTTGAAATTATTTCTGGGTTACTTCCTTGAGTATTTCCTTGAATAATGACCATATATTATCGAGCAGTTATCAGAAGTGGGCCCTCTCAGGAACTTGAGAAATCAAATCTACATAAAGAGGAAGATCAAATTTACATTCAACTGGTAATTAATGGACAAACAGAATCCAAACCCCAAAGTGAAAACTATAATCTGCTTAAACTGCCTGGATTCAAACAGATTCACTGCATCGAAAATGCTGTTTCTGTGTGAGAAACTAGCACCAAACCTGACACACATTTTTCATGCAATAGGCCAGTAGTTCTCTCACACATATTTTATGCTGTTTCATAAAAGCCTACACTGCAAAACATTGTGTTGATAAATAGGTTTACAGTGCATCTCATAGTGTTTTCTGCTGAGTTTGCCACCCTACACACAATAATAACAGGCTCTACCCCAAATGGCACCCTTGTGGTCTCCTCGAGGTCTACACTGTGCCAAATGGGCTGCCTATAGTTAATAGAATGCAGTAGAAGTTGTACTTCCTAAAACTCAGCTAGTTTAATTCATTTGGTTTACATGAGGATAAACTCTACCTGTAGGTCATGGCTTCAATGAGGAAGGGCTGGTTTTCAGCCACCGCTCTACGTCGTGCCTCCTTCGTGGCATTGTACACTGCAAAAACATCGTTTCCATCTACACGTATCGACATCAGTCCATATCCTGGACCTCGAGCAGCTATGGACAAAAAGGGGAGAAAAAAACCCCACGTAAGACACATAAGAATGAAACGCAGCGACTCACATGGGAGTCTGTGACGTACATACTCACCAATACCATCTCCTCTGTACTGCTCATTGGTCGGTGTGGAAATAGCATAACCATTGTTGCGGCAGAAGAATATGAGAGGACACTCAAGTGTGGCGGAAAAATTAAATCCAGCATGTGCGTCTCCCTCACTGGCGGCCCCCTCTCCAAAGTAACAGATCACCACACGGTTTGCGTTCTCCCTCTTCACTGCGTACGCCGCCCCAGCCGCTACAGCAGGTGTAACAGATCAAAGTGGTCATTTAGATTTTCTTTTTCAAAGAAATGAATACTTTCATTCATCAAAAATGACACATTTCCATCTAAAACAAATGCTGTTCTTTTCAACTTTCTATTCATTAGAGAATCCTATAAAAAATGCATCATGGTTGACAAAAAAATATTAAGCAGCACAATTGTTTTCACCATTGATGATAATAAAAAGAAATGTTTCCTGAGCACCAAATCATCATTAGAATGATTTCTGAAGGATCATGTGACACTGAAGACTGGAGTAATGGCTGCTGAAAATTCTGCTCAACATATTACAATAGAAAACAGTTATTTTAAATTCTAATAATATTTCACCATATTACTGTTTTACTGTATTAAATCAAATAAAGGCAGTCATGGTGAGCATTAAGAAGTTTCTTCAAAAACACCAACTAAAAAACAGCACCGAAACCTTTGCACGATAGTGTATATAATATTTGTAAAGACTGTTTTGTGTAACAGACATGTTCACTTCTCACCTTGGGGGATCTGAGTGGCAAGTGGTGAGGAGATGGTTACAAAATTGAGGTCTTTGCTGCCGTAGTGAACTGGCATTTGTCTGCCCTTGCCAAGGTCATCAGCGTTGGCATAGCACTGTGCCATAAACAGATCCAGAGGGAAGCCTCTGTACATCAATACACCTACGGAAATTCAGAAACAAATTCAATTATAATTGATCAAATATTACTTAATAAAAATCACATTTAAATCAAATATCAATAAATAAAAGTTATTTAATCAAATATCAATGCATAGATCTTTTTCTATCATACGGAATTTAACAAACATTTTGAAGGAAATAAAGCATAGAGATTTTCATTGCAACCGAAGAAGAAGAAGAAGAAGAAACTCTCAAGTGCTAGACTTAGGCGTTCTGAACCATAACTGAGCACATCTGACCCCCAAAGTCCATTTCGTTTGACTAGTGTGATCGCTCTGTACCGCACCCTGGCCCATTTCAAGAGGTGAGCTTGGGCATAGGTGTGGAACGCATATAGTGTGGGCACCAACCATGCTGGAGCACAGAACTTGAAACCCATGGCGTTGATTATGCAACTGTTCAGTGTTCTATGTTAAACAACATATTACGCACATGTGAGGACCATGTATCCTGCACCCCAAACGACTCAAAATAATAAGCCACAAAGTTAACATTACAATGGACTCCGTTGTGCCAAGCGTTCTTTTCTTCCCGTTTTCTTCAAAACAGTCACATCATAATAATGTAAGCGTGCTCAGGCCCAGAATGTTAAATGTGAGTGGGAGGGGGGATGATTGTGCTTGAGCAAGATACAAGGCTAACGTGTCTAGTGTGTGTACGCTCTTATAGTAACAAAACCGGGAGAGTCACTATTGTATCTCCAGCTTGTACGCATTCTCACCAGCTTCTCTGTATTGCCCGAAGACCAAATCAGTAGGTTCAAGAGCCGCAGCGCTTCCAATGTGTGTGCCCTCCTCACCATAATTGGTCATGTAGAAAGAGATACGGCCCTTGAACACAAAAGCATCCCAAATTGAAGCATTATAAATGCTCAGATGTCATTTAAATGCCATTTTAGATGGAATAAGCATTACAGTAAAATCCACTGCATCTCTCACCTGCCTCTGAGACTCATAAAGAATACGATCCATTGTGTTGAGTAATGTCATCTTCTGATAGAAATTCAAAACTGTCTCTTTTGAAAGCTGAAACAGACAAGTAATGCTGTGTTAAGTGCAAACTGATTAAGAAATCATCATTGGCATGTTTTTTGTGAGTACTATTTAGTAACCTGCTACTAGTATTTTCCACACATTATCTTTACCATACGATACTATTAAAAGCCTCCACACCTTAGGATCTTCAGACGGATTGATGATCTGGCCCTGTCTGTCCATCACCCTATACACAGGGATTCCTGAGATCACATTGGGCTGGATAAATTCCAGGTGATCAATAAACTCCGCCGAGGCCCCCGGAAACTGTGGCTTCTCTGCTGAAGAATCAAACGGCTCCTGGCGAAGAGCTCCCTGAAGACAAAGACAGAGGATCAGGGAGTAAAATACACAAGCAACAGAGCAGCAGTTCATGAGACCATGCATTTTGAGATCTGATCACATACTTTAACGATCAGACAAAAACTACTCAAAAATTCCCACACAAACCAGAGATAACCAGAGACTAAAACCATTAAAAAAAAACATTTCCGTCACCTGAAATAATACAATATCATAAAATAAAACATTTAAAAAAATCTACTTATTTTATTTTGGCAACATTTCTAATTTTCATTTTAACTGGATGTACTAAAATAACTAAAAGTGAAACAAATATTAATAAAACCTATAGGCATACAGTATATTCAACAACAACAAAAATGAACACACAACATTACTAAAACTTTAACTACATTTAAAACGAAAACTAAACATTGGAAATCATAAATGAATTCAAAAAATGATAATAATAGTATCTCAATGATAGTAAAAGAACACTGTTACACACAGATATTTTACACTAGGCTTTTAACAGCCAAATCCTGACCAGGAAGTTGTACTATCTGATGATCAGATCTTTTATTTTCCCTTTGTTTTGGTTTCGAGGTAATACGGGTATGATAACTTTGATGCAGAAATAAAAACAAAAGGTAAGGAGAGAAAATGCAGATCCTTTAAAAAGTAGCACTAAAATAAATACAATATAAGATTAAATATTCAGAAAACCTGTCAAGTGTTCATATGAGATAATGCCTTGATACATAAATGTGCTTTGGAATTTGTTAGTGAGCAATGCACTTTGCATGAAAACACAGATTAGCTCAGTAATATTCAAACAACTGTAAATTAATGCATGTAAACTATGAATGTCAAAATATTTTAAGTGCATGGTGTGCGTATTGATGCACATCTTTACATCAGCAGGTCGATTTAGGATCACGGAGAATCTTGATGCACCTGAGACACTGTTTAATGTACACTTTCGATGTAAGATCATCCCATGCTGGGACGAGAAAGAGAATATATTTCAATGACACGTGGCTGCAGGGATCAGCACACCCCCCTGAACCAGCCAATCGGCTCTCAGTGTAAATCTACAGCCTTGTGAAGGTTGAACAGTCCATTACCTACAACAATACACAGAGATCTGACCAATAGTTATTAGATTAAAACAATTACTAGATGATTTAGATTGCATGTTCAGACAGATCGAACGCAACTAAGTACCATTTCCAGGTCAGATGAGGAATACCTATACATAAGCACTAGAAATACTCAAAGACTTAACATTGTTTTAAGACTACGAGCATGCGTTTTATTTGAAGGTGATTTACTATTGGTATACATTTCATACAATCCTAATTACACCAACGTTTTGAGGTTCGCGCAGCTACACAGTTTGTCTGATTAGCAACTTTTGCTAATGAGCAAATATGCGATTGTCATAAACGTAAAACTTACATTTACGTGGAACGCTCTTTGCTGGAGAAACGCAGTTGCTTTTAATGTAGTATTTTGACGGATTGCGTGAAACCCAATCCCGTATAATTTCTTGACACCTCTAGCAGCCGCCATCTTTACGTCAAGTGCGTGTCTTGCGTCTGTTGTTATCGCCTCAATGACAGCCTGTGAAAACCCCGTACAGTGCGCCCCCTGCTGGACAACGTCGCACAACACAAACATTCATCCCATTTTTTACGTTTATATCTAGGACATGTATCATTTTAATTACATATGCAATTTTAGTGTACATAAATTCCTCTATATAACTACAATTTAGTTGCAGATGCATTTTGATTTAACCGGTCCAGGGTTTCTGGCAACATGGTCATTGCGATCGTCTTACCGCTAGAGGGCGACTTGTGAGCGCGAGCTGAGCGACGCGAGGATTGTGCCTGAGGACCAGGATGGAGTTAGATCAAAGTTGTTCAGCTTTCAGAGAATATGGAAGTGAGCAGAGTTTGTTATCCAAACCTGACGGATTCAGGGTATTTATGTCAGTGTGTAACTGATTTGTTTCCTTTGTTCAGCGCCTGTCAAGCTTATGTCCAGAAATCTATTTAATTCATTCATATCTATATCGTTCTGAATTTGTACATGTATTTTCAGGTGATACTAGTATCCTGGCTGGAGGTTAAAGTCAGTAAGGAAATCTATGATCGAGCTACTGTAGAGGTTCTTATCCAGCCCAAAATGGGGCTTCCAGGTAACGTTATGTATTTTCTAAATCAATTTCTTATGCTGTACACATTCATAATTAATGATATAAAAGTTTAATACAGCTTTTTAAATCTCGTTTCCCCCCATACATTAAAATGTGTCCTGTTTAATTTAATTAATGGATTTATTCTGAGCAAAAATAATGGCAATCATATATTTTACCATGATTTACAGAAGACACCCCCACAGTCATTCAGTGTAGCAATAGTTCATATACCAAAACATATTTAGAAGAAGTCATTAGATTACATTAATAGCCTCTATTTAAGGATTGCAGAACAGCCCCCAAACCCTGATTAACTGCAATGTTAAATCTTTATCAGTCTTTGCCACTATCCTTCCTTGGTTTTACTCATTTGTCAGCAAGAAGTTTTAATAATTCAAAATATAATAATTTTGTATGATCACTTTTTCCTTTTATATATTTTAATATGTGCAGTTCAGAATAAGAACGTTTTCATTTGTACGTAAATGCATTATGCTGAATGATGATGGAACAACACCCATATTTTGATTTTATTTTCACAAAAGTTATTTTAAACGTTAAAGCAAGGGTGTGCGATATATATCGTAATTGCTGTTTAAACAATATGCGATTTGACATTATTGAGTATATCGCAAAAACCAAACAAAAACACAGCGAGAGTGCGTGCGCGTGTAGGTCAGACTACTGCGCGTGCGCATTTAGATATCACGTTTTCACTGCGTGATTTAGTCTATTAAAATACATTTAAAATTCCCCCAACATTCAAGATAAGGAGGCAAATATGCCCCCGTATGACTTGTGTCATTTATATTTATATAATCTGATATAGTTAATATCACACGAATAGTGACGTTTTTCTCCAAATATCTGTACGGTTGCCAATGTGATATTGATTTGATGAACAGAGGCCCGTTTCAGAAAGGAGGTTAAGTGGAAACTCTGAGTATGTTAACCCTGAAATGAGGGAAACTGGGTTTTCCATTTCTCAATGGGGGGGCTTGTCAAACCCGAGAAAGCAGGGTAAGTCAAGCCCGTTTCTGTTATCAAACAGTTCTGCTATCATTGAGTCTGTCCTGTGTTCATCCATAACTGTCTGGTTTGGTTCAGCAACCAAATCAGACATCAAGAGACTACAACGGACAGTCAGGACTGCTGAGAGGATTATTGGTGCCCCTCTGCCCAGCCTCCAAGATCTTTACATCTCCAGAGTGAGGAAAAGGGCTAAAAAAATCACCTTGGACCCCTCACACCCAGCCCACTCTCTCTTCGAACTGTTGCCTTCTGGTCGGTGCTACAGAGCACTGACCACCAGAACAGCCAGACACAAGAACAGTTTTTTCCCACAGGCTATACTCAGTCTTAACAATTAAGCTTTCATAATTATACCATGTCCATCACAACTAACATAGTATATTTATATTAAACGGCACACTTTGTAAATAACATATCTGCACACTAATAAACATATCTGTACATTTATCTAAACAATTACATTTTTTCCTATACTTCTATTTCTGTATATAGTACATTATTCAATTTTTCGATTTTTTTTTTATTATATTAGTTTTATATTACATCCCTACTGTGTTATTCCTATGTATGTCTGCACTATCATGTATGTCTGCACTATGTTTGTACTTTCTTCTACACTGGAAGCTCCTGTCGTCAAGTCAAATTCCTTGTGTGTGTAAACATACTTGGTAATAAAGCTCTTCTGATTCTGATTCTGATTATTGAAACGGGCCCCTGCTCAATAAACAAGTTTTTGCTGTATTTCGACAATGAAAATAGCTCCAAACAAAGCCACAGCAGAACTGTTTTGCGTCTCTGAGCAGCACACGCCGGTGTTTCGTTACTGAATCAATCAACCGTTTGATCGAATCGGTTGCATGAAGGATTCAACGACTCACTCATGCAGTGATTTACCGCCACCTACTGGCGATTTTAGGGTTATATTTAAATTATATTTTGTTGATTTAATTTGGTTGGTAACAGCCCTATAGTGTCTAACTATTTGAATTGACTGATTAAATGTAAGAATTTGCATACATTAATTAGGTTAGAAAAAACTGGCCTTATAAAAGATTAAAATGCCCATACAAATACAAATAAAATCAATGTAAACTTATTGGAAAAGATCATTTCAGTTACTGCTGCAAACGAACCACCTCAGAATATGAAGAATATCAAAAGCTTTGGGAGTGAGCTGTCCACGGCAGTCCTAAACCTGCCAAAATACCAGCACAATAACATAATATTGTCTAATTATCGTTATCGACAAAATTCCAGAAAATATTGTGATATCTTTTTCTCTTTTTTTGTCATTATTGCACACCCCTAGAACACTTTAATTGAATTCTATATATATAAAATCACTTTGTAAATTTAATTTGATGCGGATACCAAAATGGGTGTGTGTGTGTAAATTAGGAATGTAACGATTACCGGTTTCACGATAAATCCCGATAAAATGCCCTGACGGTTAGTATTACCGTTTAAAATTGAATTATCATCAAAACCGTGTTTGATTATCGCAATTTTGAAAACTCGCGGTAAATCCTGTCCAGCCAGCATCAGTCTGACGCAGAAGCAGCATGCAGTGTTGTTGTTGTTGTTTGCACGAGAGGAAATGGCGGAAGGCAGTGACAGCGCTCGGGAGATTTTTCAGCCATCTAAGAGGACCAAATCGGTGGTCTGGTCGTATTTTTTACAAGAGTCCTGAAGGCAATTTAATCGAGGACGGTCACCCTGTCTGCTGATCTTGCAAGAAGAAAGTCGCTGCAAAAGGGGGAAACGCATCAACTTTGCTCAGTCATCTTCGTGACCACCACCCACTGTTATATAGCGAATGCAAGGTAACTTTTACCTCAACCTAAAATAATATATAAATATGGGGATATGAAATATTGAATTGTTTTAAAATTAATGTTTTTAAATCATATAAATCCATTATGAACAGTGTACAAAACAATCGTCAGGACAATATGATCACTACAGCAAAATTATAGTAGTATTAATACTAAATTCCTCTGATTTCATTTTCAATACAATCAAAAACTGAGACGCAAGACGGCAAGCTGCATTCGAATGAAACGAGAGAGAGCGTCCGCGCCTCTGCGGTGATACAAGAGACATGCGGCGGATTCCAAACAGAAGTGAGCATCCCTATGCCCTACTCTCTTCGAAGAGCCCTTGAAGGGTGCAGGGTATTACTGTCTCGTATAAGCATTTGAAACTCTCTCGGCGAAGGGAATGACTGACCAAATGTTACCTTGATAAGGCTGCGCGTGCTTGCAGCATTCAGGACTCCATCAGTTGTTGCAAATAAATATTTATTATTATTATTATTTTATTCAAATATTGTCTAATTGTGTCTTATTTACTATTAAACGTTTTCAAACTAAACTTGCTTACACTACCGTCTTAAATCATATTTCTATCACTGAGGGAAAATGTTGTCTTACATTAAAATGGAAAAATTTAATTAGCCTATTCTATTTATGTTTGTATGTGAACTCGAAGTCAACTTTGCTTTAAAAAGCATCACAAGATCTCCTAACCGATGATCACTAACGGAAATCACATTGTGTGTGTGTGTGTGTATATATATATATATATATATACACACACACACAAGTGATTTATTATTATTATTATTATTATTAGGGCTTCATGTTAATGTTAATTTAATGTTTTTTGCAAAAAAAGAAAGTGCATATAACTGCTAATTGTATTTGTTGTTTGTTGATTTTCAAATATAAAACTTATTGAAATGTTTTCAGTGTGTGTGTATCAGTTCTTTTTGAACGTTTTCATCTAATTTGAACAAAACCGTGGTAATATTGATAATCGTGATAACTTTGGTCACTATAATCGTGATATGAAATTTTCATACCGTTACATCCCTAGTGTAAATAATATCGTTTTATTTTTCAAATATAACATATAACGGAATGTTATGTACAATAATTAGAATAAAAAATATGTGAGCTATAATGAGGAACTCATCCTTCAAAGGGCCTTGGAAATAATCTTAAAGCTACATTTCAGAAAAACATGCCACTAAATTGCAGCCAGTTGTGTCTTGTGTGCTTTATTTTATTTATTTGCTTGTTATAGAACACATTATTTATAAGGCTTTTACCTACAAATTGTTTGAACAGCTTTTAAAAATCAATAATTGTGCAGACTATAATCGCATGACTAATAATCATGTCAGGTGTTTAATAATAAGTGTCTTTCATTTCGATAATTACATTGTTCAAACACTCCTGTCACCAGACACCTTCAGTACTGTTTTTCATCTGGGCCTGTACTTCTAGTTCTCGCCATTAAGTGACAGTCTGGTACAGACTCAGCTTTCCACTCATGTTGTTGTGTTCTTTTAGGAGTGCGAGAGAGCAGTGTGAGACGTGCCAGGCTGCTCTTCTGCTGACGCTTCGTCCTCGTTCTTCTGTCACAGTCATCCTGCAGGTCATCCACGATGATGGCTCTGTATCCTACAAACCAGCAAAACTATTGCTAATGTGTGTTAAATTAAGAAAAGGGTAAATGTGATGCATCTGTATTATTTGTGTAATTATTATTATTATTATTTGTCTGTATTATTTGTGACCATATTAGTATTATTCAAAATATGAGTGTGATGAGCATATTCATCGGAAAAGTTACAAAGTTTAATTTGTTCAGGGCTAGCTTTGGGGTCAGCAAGTTATTTCTTTTAAAAGAAATGAATACTTTTATTTATCAAGGATGTATTAAGTTGATCAAAAGTGACAGCAAAGACATTTATAATGGTATAAAATGTTTTTATTTTAAAGAAATGCTGTTCTTTTGAACGTGCTGTTCAATAATCTTTAACCTTCTATGGTATGCATTATGTTCTAATGAATTATTATTTCAAATAAGTTTTTACTACATGAAATAGCTTGAATCATACAAATAAAAAAGGCAAGCGTTGCTATATGACAACGCTGTACCACAATGGAAAATGGACAAAAAAGTAGTTTTTCTATAAAATTATGATTTTCTTTTCTATTTAAATGCACATTTCTTTTAGAAATTGATCATTTATATACTCTGAACTCATGCAAACCAAAAACATAAGTAGATCCCTATCATTTAAGCTTCACTGAAGGCTAACTCATCCTCACTCTCATCACATGGAAGAACTAACTCTGCACTCTTCCTATTGGCCTTTCCGTAGAATATTGCTGCATTCATTTTCTGCAAAGAAGAAATCATTTTGTTGTTTATACATAAATACAACTATACTACAATAAACACTTCAAATAAATAAACAACTGCAATCATATTATTGATGCTATTATCTATACAAAAAAAATCCCAATTGGGGAAATACACTGTGGTACAGTGTTGCCATATGGAAACATTTTCTCAATTTACAGTAAAACTATGTTAGACAAAGTTAAATTGTGAATAGAAATATCTAATTTACTTAACAAAGATGCTGCAAAAAAATTCCCCTTGAGAAGAAGTGTTTAGAAATGAGGTTAATAGAGCAATTTCTGGAGCACTTCAACAGGTGCCTTCCGTGTGAGGGTTAAAAAGTTTTGGGCGGACATTCAAATGTCATGTGACTTAAAAACAGCACATCGTTGTCTACCTTAAGGCCTGCCCTTTTAATTCCCATCGTGCAATACATTGTTTTTTTTCCAGAATAACAAGAAAATGAGTAGAAATGCATTATTGCCAAATGGCAACTCCGTTCCATAAAGAGTTAAAAACGTATCCCTGTTTACACAAAAATATTAAATCATCATATTACAATAATTTCTGAAGGATCATGTGACACTGAAGACTGAAAATTCAGCTTTGTCATCACAGCATAAGAGATCTTTTTCAGAAACACTAAAACTACTGACCCCAAACTTCCACATTACTGTTGATTTGTTTTTTCTGCCCCATTTTATTGCATTCACACTTTGCGTCCTTACAGTATGGGTCCTTATCTAACTGTCAGCTGCTGTCGTGCTGCCTGAATGCAGCCTGTATGGCTCTAATGGATGCCAGGCTGCCCATGAGCCACCTTTTTTGTAGTGTGACCTGTGCTATTAGCAAAGAAGGCCAGATAATCATTGATCCCACGGCTCGGAGAAGCCGGAGAAGGTACACCGCACTTCTTGACACAAACCATAGCGCACAGGTTAAGCTCTTGATCTGTCTTTTATGTTTTCTTTTCCAGGAATGTCGAGCGTTGTTAATATTTGCTATTGAGAGTGTTGAGTGCAATGTTTTGATGTCATCAGCCACAGGCTCTTTTTCAGTCCAGGAGGTGAGATCGAATGCAGCATTTCATTCTTGCGTGCGATTTGTCGCTCTGTTTGTGGCGATGACACATGGGCACTTGTGTATGTTTCATAACCTGCTTGAATTTTCTACAAGGCAATGATATAAATGTGTTTTCTTCTTACACAGCTGCAGCAGTGCGTCGCAATCAGTCAAAAAGCTTCTGAACAAATCTTCCAGTTTTATAGGGATTCTGTCAAACGCCGATATTCAAAGATAAAATAAAACACGCTTATGATTTTTACCTTGAGTTTGCATCATTTTGTCATTAAATAAGAATAGGAGTTGTGTGTGTGTGTGTGCAAATTTTTTTTTATTTACAGTGAATTATATTGTGCACGATTTTTTTGACTTAATTATCATTGTATATGCATGCATATGCAATGATAATGAAGTAAAAAAAAAAAAAAGTATATGTGTGTTATGACCCTACCTACATGATTTTACCCACAAAGCTTTACAGAGCAATTGTTGGACTCAAAGATGGTATTTTTATCATTTCAAGATTTAATTTTCTAGCTCACACCATATTAATTTGCCTGATATTTTGTGTTTGGAGCCGTAATGAAAAACAAAGTGTTTTTATGCTGTGCTAATAATAAAAAAAATTAAGAGATGTACTGTAAATAGCCATATTGCTACCCAGGTGTTGTAGTTTTTGTAGTCATATTAAGTAAAATAGACCATAATGCTGCTTTTTTGTGTAACCCAAAGCTTAAAATAGCAAAATTTTAAAATAGCAATTTAAGACCACTGCCTTGGGAACCATAGCTTTCGAAATGAAAAAGTGAAAGAGATTTCCATTAGACTGTAAGCTGGGTCAGTGAGAAAATTACTTAGTATATTAATATGCATTATCATTAATTGCTGTTCACCGTAGTTGTGCTTGATCTTCCATTTAGTTCCTCTAGAGCGGGGGTCCTCAAATCTGGCCCACGAGATCCACTTTCCTGCAGAGTTTAGCTCTAACCCTAATCAAACACACCTGAGCATGCTAATCAATGTCTTCAGGATCATTAGAAAATCACAGGTAGGTGAGTTTGATCAGGGTTGGAGCTAAACTCTGCAGCGCATTGGACCTCCAGGGTAAGATTTGAGGAACCCTGCTCTAGAGTGTAGATGTGTATTGTAACGATTATCATTAAAACATTTAGGCTCTTTCCAATGCAATTGCAAGTATTAAAAAGGCAAAGCCAAATTAAAGTTTCAATCAAGTGCATTTATTCATTCATAACAGTTACCTTCAAAATGTACATACACATTTACACAAGATTAATGTAGAGGAGGAATAGAATAATGACAGGAGAGGATTCCTCTGGTCTGTTTTCCTGTCCTGAGACTCGACCGCATGGTGCTCTTCTGTGATCCCACACAGGCAATGATAACTTACCGGAGGGGGCTGTGCTATCGCTCCTCTCCTCTGCTCGATGGGGCAGCTTGTTGTAGAAGTAATACATGATTTCCTACCATGATGTGACCCAATTTCTATCTGCGGGGAGCTCGAAGGCCACCTGCCAAGGCAGTTCATGCTGACCGCTGTTTTGCGGCTGTAATCTTTTGAACAGGGCACATTTCAACATATAAATCGCACGTTTTCTGATTGTAGTAACCATGCACTTGACATCTGAATGTAGACTTTCTCCATAATGTACACTACCATTCAAATATTTGGGGTCAGTAAGATTTTTTTATGTTTTTGAAAGACTCTTACGCTCACCAAGGTTGCATTGACTTTATTAAAAATACTGTAAAATCAGTAATGTGAAATATTATAACAATTTAAAATAAATGTTTTCTATTTGAATATATTTTCAAATGTAATTTATTATTGTGATGGCAAAGCGGAATTTTCACCAGCCAGTACTCCAGTCTTCAGTGTCGCATGATCCTTCAGAAATCCTTCTAACATGCTGATTTGCTGCTCAAAACATTTTAAAATGTTGAAAATATTGCAGCTTAGTATTTTTTTTGTGTGTGGAAACTATTAATATTTTTTTTCTTTGATGAAAAGAAAGTTCAGAAGAACATTTATTTGAAGTATAAATCTTTTGTGACATTATAAACGTCCTTACTGTCAATTTAGCAAACCCTTGCTGATTGACATTTTTTTTTTCTTCAAAAACTGACCCCAAATTCTTGAATGATTATGTATTGTATGTACTTCAGGCTTTTATATATTGTCTAGTTTAGTGTAATGTTAACAGTTTACCAGTCAAATGAATGAACAGAAAGTAAGTTTATAAACACTAATATCCTGCTTTAAAAAGGTATAGTGCCATTAATTGTACATGAATGCAGATGGATTTGAAGGTGTGAGAAATGGGTTTCATACACAGAGACACTTCCTATAGTAGCAACTAAAGCACTTCTGTCAGCGCGATGTGTTTGGCACTGCTTATCGCTCGCCTCTGAGGTTGTCGAAGCAAAATGTAGGCTCACGAAAGGGATTTAAGTATAGAGTAAAGTACTACAACAAAATAGAGTGTCCAATGGTTGAAATGTCACTGATTACAGTTTTGAGCTTCCTTTATCATAGAATTCCCTTTTAAGCTAGTGGATTCCATTATCTCAAGTGCATGCCTAGCTTCAATGGCATGAATGCAGCTTCAAGTTAATAACTGCCCAGGCAATCAAATACCCCTTATTTCATACCTACAAATTGTACATGTTATATGCTCAGTTATTCATCATGAATATAAATTAAGATCTTACAGATGTTTACATCCCTGCAAACTCAACACCTTTGGGCGAAACTGAATGTATCTTTGAAGGTAACTGACTGTCTTCAGAACGTTTCGATGGCATTTTCTTTTCATCCTCTGTATAATGCATAATGTAATGTTTAAAAACACACATCTGCTTTGTGTACAGGGGTAACCACTGTATTTCTGCTTTTCCATAAGCGGCACCTGTACTGTCAGAGAGCTGAATTTGAATTTTCATTCAGCCTGTTTGCCGTTTTTGTTCAGAACAATTATGTTTAAAATAAAAACTAATAAATGGTTTAAAGGCTGAAATAAGGTTTAGCATTTTATAAAACGTTTTGTCAAAAGTTATATTTGAACTGTAATGCTGTTTAAATCATTGTTTTTATGGTCCTTTTTACAGTTAATGTAACCATAGACATTTGTGTTGTTTCAAAACATCTTTGCTACATAAACAACATGTAGTTCTATTCAAATATCAGAATTTTTTCAAAATTATTTCAACTGCTGGAATTCATGAAAATCTTAATTTCTTAAGATAAAATCTTACAGGGCCGTCCTTAGCTGATGCGGGGCCCGGTGCCCCTCTCGGTCCGTTCGCGATCGCATTCCGGGGTGGGGGGTGGTCCGTTCGCTGCGGGGCCCCCTCAAGCGCGGGGCCCGGTGCGACCGCACCAGTTGCACCCCCCTAAGGACGGCCCTGGTTGAATAATTCTGTTTTTTTAAACATAGACGTCTGATTGAATAGTGGTTTATGCTGAAGATTTGCTGATCAACTCAACACCTCAAAGACAATCGCAGATTACTGAAATAATCGTAATTATCAGAATAATGTTATAATGCTTAATACTTGAAATGACCCAAAAATTTAACATCTGCATACATATTTACTTATCACATTTACGATTGTTTTTAAGAACATTTTCAGGAATTCTAATTATTCTTAAGTTTTTCCTTTAGAACAATCATAAGAAATGTTTTGGGAATACAAAATATTCTTAACTTTATTCTTAAATTAGAGGAAAAAGAAGAAAATAGCAGTTAAGAAAAGTTGTATTTTTGGTTACACTTTACTTGAAGGGGTGTGCATAAGACTGACATGACACATGTCATGAATATGAAGGTTTTTTTATGCATGTTTATGACAACTGTCATTAAGTCTCATTCGCTCAGTTATGTCATTTTTAATGCAAAGATGACATTGTTTGAGATGTCTTTGTTATGGGCTATGTTTAGGGGTAGGGGTAGGGTTAGGTCAAATAATGTCATATTTGCATTAAAAATGACATAACTGAGCGAATGACACTTAATGACAGTTGTCATAAACGTGCATAAAACCTCCTTCATATTCATGACATGTGTCATGTCATGATTATGAAGGTGTCATGTCAGTCTTATGCACACCCCTTCAAGTAAAGTGTTACCGTATTTTTTAATAATGTTTGGTGAATCTGGCCCGATTCCTGCTTCATCATCATTTTTGCCATTTTTCCGGAGTTTGCAGGCATGGTTTAGCTGAATCATATGAAATGTCTCCATACAGTTTTGTTGGTACAGTAGGTGGAGAGTCTACATTTATGAAGCTATGAATAGAGTCCTGTAGGAGAAGCTTCTCATAACAGCATGACTCAGTGGAAGCTGCAGCGTATGTGTGTTTCCCTCATCGCATTGAACTTTTTTCTGCATATTTGTTATGCATCCTCATATTTGCAGAATCTGTCTGAACTTGCCCTTGTTTTCTATCTGGCATTTTCCAATAGAGTTCTAAAGTCATTTACTGTGGTGTTTTCAATTTGGAGAGTGGTTCAATGACCAGCTTTAGAGCTCAGATAGAAAATGACGCAGTTTGCTGGAGTCATGTGTCTCGGAGGGCACGTCCTGCTGTTTCACAGCCAAGTCCGTTGTGATCTCCTGACCTCACAGTCCTTGTCTAGTTCCCTTCTAACAAACCCTTAGGCCCCAATCACTCCCTCCCCTGCCAACTTAGACACACGTGCCAAGACAGAGCGCAGGTCTCTCTTTCTGAATTGGGTGTCATATTTTTTGGACCCAAATACAAACATTTCAGATGAAACTACCCTCTTTCCAAATGTAGTGATTGACATTTTTTAATCTAATATTGCAGCTGTGAACTTGCAGAAAATGTTACAAAGGTGGCGTCTCTGCCAAACTAATGTGCTTATTACAGGTGTAGATGAATGTAAGTATATAAGGAGCAGCGGTTTGTGTAATTAGGAGCCAGGGAGGTGCGTTTCTGGAAGAATTGAGAGAGGATACCGATACA